AAGGGATCTATAAGGGTTCCTTTAAAGGGATCTATAGGGTCTTATTGTTAGGGGTTTAGGGTTTAGGGTTTAGGGTTTAGGGGTTTAGGGGTTTAGGGGTTTAGGGGTTTAGGGTTTACGGGTTTAGGATTTAGGGGTTTAGGGTTCAGGGTTTAGGGTTTAGGGTTCAGGGTTGAGGGTTTAGGTTTAGGGGTTTCGGGGTTTAGGGTTCAGGGTTTAGGGTTTAGGGTTCAGGGTTTAGGGTTGAGGGTTTAGGTTTAGGGGTTTAGGGTTTAGGGTTTAGGGGTTTAGGGTTTGGGTGGTGCAATACAGGGCCTTCATAATGACCACGCTATTTTTGTGGGTTCATTGCAATTATAGTCCAATATACCCCACACCACTATTCTAATTATTAAGCCCTAGATTAATTAGGGTTTAGGGTTTCCCTAAGATCAGGGGTTTCGGCTTTAGGGTTTTGGCTACCGAGTTTGGGGGTTCTGGTCTTTTGGACTTATAGCCCGAAGAGTCCAAGTACCTAACCATCATATGGGTAGTTCTCCAAATTAGGGTCCCTTTCAGGGTCCGTCTATAAGGGTGCCGTGTTATTTTGGGGACCCGAAAAGGGGCCCTAATTTAGAGAACTACATATAGACTTACTCTCCGAAATAGCAACCTACGTAGCTACTACAAGTACCTGATTTCTGGGTCCTTTGGACCCTCAGGGGTTCCGTTGCGAAGGAAAGTTCACACTGTCGGATCCTGCAGGAAGCAAACTAGCCATCGCTGCACTAGTCGAGTATCATGGCGGATATGGACATGCTCTCAATCCTAAGCACGGAGACGAAGCCCCTGCACCCTAAGCTTTAACAAACTCTCATGGAATCTGCAACGGACGCCCTTTTGCACGACAAACCCAACATCCCCAACGGCTTACACTGCCAGCCCTAATCTTGCAAACCCAAGCTGAACTATGGTGGATTGCTCATGATTTAGGGTTTGAGGTTTCGGCGCAGTTGCTTGTGGGTTGAGGTTTATGAGGGAGGGTTCAGGGTTCCATAGGTACGTACTACTGAAGTACTACTGAGATGTCGTCGACTATATAAACTCTCACGTGGATAGGGCTTCGAGTCCCTATACCTCCAACCCGAAACCCGAAGCCTAAATCCGAAACTCACTGTAAAGCCCGACCGTCCCAATAAAGCCCCATAGTCTATGGGGCCTGAATCATTAGAATAAGTTCTGGGGGCTCCTTATTGTAATTTTCGTTCTATACAATTACCCCAAGCCCTGTTCTTACTATTAAGGCCCCTGTATTCGCAACTTTGTCGAAACCCTGGTAGTACCCTTCCAAATAGACTTAAAGAAGCGCTTAAAGCAACCCGAAAACCGAGCAGGGGAGCCGGTGATCGCTGTCGTCGAAGCAAAAGCCGACATCGCCGCCAAGGCCATGTACGCAAGCATGAAGACACTTGGCCTGCGGGCGGGGGGGGGGGGGGGTGTTACAGGTTTTTTTTTTCGGTTTTATAGCGTCTGGAGTTTAAATTAGTGGTTTGAGATTTGGGGCCAACTGGTTTCGCAGGCCATTCTAGGCTTTCTGGGAGATCTTGGTCTTCGTGTGTTGCTGATTTAGGGAGTATGTTTGGATGTTGTACTGGGTTGGTGCTGTTGATGATATAAATCCTG